TTTTTTTTTTTTTTTTTTTTTTTTTTTTTTTTAATACCTAATTCCAAATGTGTCCTTTTTTTATCATTATTTTCGCTTAAAGATTTATTAGATGTATTTATAGATCTTTCATCTGATTTATTTTTAATATTTCTTTTTATCATATTCAATGAATAGTAACTTCAAATCTCGAAAAATAATTTTTTTTTAATTATATTTTTCTTTTTTTTAAAAAAAAAAAAATTTAAAACACTGCAATTATTTGAAAAATAAATTATAATCTTTATTCTTATTAACCATTTAATTTCATTTATCAATTATGTACTTAAAATATTTAAATTTAAAAAGTTACAATAAAAATAGTAACGTAAAAATTATTATAGTCATATATATATTTACGTGTTTATTAAGAGTTGAGAATATTAAAATAATATTTTAATAAAAAAATAAAAATAAAATACATATATAGAATATATGTTAAAACATTCTATATTTATATTTACAACACTTCGATTTAAGCTAAAAAGATTTTTACACTATATATATATATGCTACATATAAATATATATATTTATAATATATATTGTATGTGTTCCTTTCCTGTCATTTTTAATATAGAACTAATTCAAATATTTAATAACTAAATTTAAGAAAAAGATAAAAAATATATATATATTGTAACTTATATTTTAAAATATAAAATTCAATGAAGAAAAAAATGTTTAACTGTTTTGAAGTATCACATTATAGTAACTTTATAGAAATTTATATCATATTGTTATCTATATAAATTAATACATTCTTATAGTTATTATTTTTTAATTAAATTAATGTGGTTAATAATACATATGCTTCTATCTAGAACTACCTATTTTCATTTTTTTTTTAATTCTATTTAGTAAATTATTTTTAAAAGTATACAATGGGTCAGATTATATAGAATTATTATATAATGTAAAAAAAAAAATAATAAATAAAAAAAAATATGAAATAATTTTTTTTAATTAAAAAACCGCATATTTGATATAATTAAAAAATGTTTACTTATTTTTAATTATAATTAATAAATATATTTATCTATTAATATATTTCACCCTTTTTTTTTTTTTTTTTAATTACTTGAAATGTTTTTTAAATAAATATTATTCCTTTATTATTAGCTAGTTAAGATATTATTATTTTGTATAATCTATATTTATATCAATAAAAATTATATGTATAGATTTTTTTATTATATGTATTATAATAATAAAAAAAATAGATTTACTTTTTTCATTTATATTAAAAATAATATAATTTTAATTATTAATTTTGTATTTTAATAATATGAACATTTTTTAATTAAGAACCATATATAATAATTAGTAATTAAAAAAAGATACAAATATTTTTGTCTGTAAAAAATTTCTATATTTTAAATTATTTTAACATTAATGATTTTTATAATTACATATTTTTATATATATATATATATATATAAATGTAATATAATGCATACTTTTTTTTTTTTTTTTTTTTTTTTTTGCACCATTTGATTGTCTAAATTTAAAATATACATATATTCTTATATAAATCTTATAAATTAACAAAATGTATAATATATTAATGAAAATTAATTATAAAAGAATGATAGAAAATGAAATATATAAAAATATATTTAATATCATAATTATAATTTTTACTTAAATTATGATAATAAATAAATGTACGCTTTTTTTTTTGTTACTTTTTTTTTTTTTTTTTTTTTTTTTTTTTTTTTTTTNATAATTACATATTTTTATATATATATATATATATATAAATGTAATATAATGCATACTTTTTTTTTTTTTTTTTTTTTTTTTTTTTTGCATTAGTTTAGATACATATAATACTATTAGTATAAAAGAAGGTATTTTCATTTTACGAGAACTTTTATATATTTGTTAAAATGTATATACAAAAATATTCTTAAAAAAAAAGGAATTTATGTGTTAGATAAAGAATGAAAAAATTAAAAATAAGTTAAATTAGTTATACTAAGTATACTTCATTTAGTACAACAAGAATTTGTAGATAAAGGAGTCGATTTATTAATATAACATATTAAACATTTTTTTTTTTTTTTTTTACAAAATGATTTAATCCCAGAAATATAAAAAAAAAAATGCATGTAAACTTATAATAAATAATTATTAAATAATTTTTTATATTAAAACTACTTTTAAAAAAATTAAAGGAAAATAAAATAAACTTTGATTTTTAAAGATCTTTTTAGTTTAAATATAATACTTTTATTTCTGTAATAATTTTTTTTTTTTTTTTTTTTTTTTTTTTTTTAATTTTTTAAATTTCTA